TATATATATATATATATATTATTTTTTTTTTTTGTATCATCCTCTCCAGAGGTTCCACAGACATGCCCCCAGAACAGAACCAGAACAGAACCGGAACAGAAGCAGCCTTCTTTATCAGGTGAACCTTTGACACTTACACTGTAACAAACCATAGCTGTTTAATCACGTAACACTACCATTAAATGGTGCTGCTGTTTGATACCCCTTGCACCACTTAAATCCACAAGTCAGGGATGATGTCATAATCAAGAACTCACATAGCAGTTCTTGATTATAATGTTGGAGTGCATTCACAAGCACTCCAACATTCTGATATTTACTAATTTAAACACTAGTTCAGATCGACCATGTGTTTTTTACAGTTCACCTGTTGAATTCCCAGCCAGTCAGCGAGGTCCCGAGCATTGGCCAGAGCTGTGGACAGACCAACCACTCTCACTGCCTTTGCAGTGTGAGAGGAGATGAAGTTAGTCCTGGACACAATTACCTCCAACACAGGGCCTCTGTCCTCACCTAGACACACAGTTAAATTTACATATTCATGTCAGCAGCAGAGAATGTGTCAGAAAATGTAGTTTATTTATCTCTACCTCATCATAGCTCTTTAGAGGCCAACACTCTCTGAGAGGTCAGCTGGATGTATATGCTGCTTTTCATAACCAGGTTACACAGAGTGACACCTACCCAGCAGGTGGATCTCATCTATGATGAGAATGGCCACTTTCTGAACATAGCTCCTGTTCTGCCAACTTCTGCTCACTCCATCCCACTTCTCTGGTGTGGTGACAATGAGGTCAGCTTGTGCGATAGCTCTCATATCTGGAGTAACGTCACCAGTCAGCTCTACCACTCTTCCCACACAAGAAACAGGAAAAAGAATGACAGCTCTGTAAAACTGGTAGCATTACCATCTTATCACAACAAACTCCTGAGAGGTGGAGCTTTTCTGTGAGGAGTGTCACTTACTTTTTCCCCAGTTTTTCTTCAATCCTGATCTTCCAGTCCTCAATCCTCTCTCTCACCAAAGCTTTTAAAGGGGCAATGTAGACAACCTAAATGGCAACAATGAAGAAAAAAAGGTCAGGAATAACTTGATAAGCTGAGCCATCAAAAAATTACACCTTATGTATGCGAAACTTCTGTTTTGATTAATACAGAAAAGCATGTGAGAAAGTCAAAATTTTTACAGAAAATAAAACCCAGCTTCCTGTATTGCTAAATACTTGAAAAGTACTTCTACATTGTTCCAGAATCAATGTAACAGTGAAGACCTCTGATAAACTAACTTAGAACTGATGCAAAAACACACAAAAAGCAAAAAGAGCCTCAGTCAGTCTAACCTTAGAGGAGGGATACTTGCTGAAGACCCGGAACATGGCAAGCTCGGCTGCAATGGTTTTCCCAGAGCCTGTCGGTGCCCCCAGCAGGACGTTGGTGTCAGTGTGGTACAGTGTGTGGAAGATCTGTGTCTGGATGGGATTAAAGTGAGTGAACTTGTACAAGCTCTCAAACTCTTGGTTCCCCAGAGCTGTCACAGGCAATGGCTGCAGGTCCAGAAGTTCTGAGCAGAAAAAAAGAGGAAAACCAGAATGAAATAGAACATACCCACCCGGTTACTGTTGCAACAAAAAGCCATGCATGACAGCAAATATATCTAGACACAGAGTGTCACAGAACAGAGCGTGTAGAGATATCCTAACCAAGACAGGAATTATACTGAAGATTAACATGACGGCTTAGACGTCGCCTGGCCAAACAAGGTCTGTGTCAGGTGCTGGGGAACCAGAGCACCTTGATGACAAATGGGCTACTGGAACAAGACGGAAATGGGCGAGAGGTGAAAACCTGGATCTGCTGGAACCCTAGTCAGAGGGGCTACATGCAAAGACTGTGGGAAAAATGGTTAGTTCGACATCCCCAGTCTACAATGACTGCTAAACAACTAGTAGCTAGTGTTCCAACATCCGCAAACGGCAACTGCTATCACAACTTGAGATTGACGAGGTACAACTCCCTCTTGCTACGGCAAGAGGGAGGAGCCTGGATGTCAGGACAGGGGGGAGTTAACTACAACTACCCGCCCAGAGACTGGGTATGTAGCCC